AAATTCATAAATTTTATGATCATTCGAACGCCTTCTTACTTTTACAAGGTTAGTATTTGTACACGTGTACAGGTTCGTGCTGCATTTCACGCGATTATGATCGATACGCAATAATAGGTAATTTAGTTAGTTAAATAAAAATAAAATCGGTGAATTTGACGAAATCGACCAACTCACCGAATCAAAAAGACATGTTTAACCAGATTAATCCACCCACCCATATGCCCGATGGGATCTATATAGAAGAAAGACATTTATAATTAATTTTAAACCACTTTAATCTAAGATTCTAGTTTCAGTTATATCACAATGTGGAGTATTGTTAAGTGAAATTTTTAACATTGATTTCAAGCTTATTTTAGCAGTTCAAATGTAGGTGTCAATTCCCTGGTTTCCTGAAGATATCCAAGATGATCCTGAAAGGGATACTACGTAATCTCATTCAATATTTAGTGATTGACATGAAAAAAAAAAAGATCTTATTTGTTTATGGCATCAAAGAATGGTTCTAGCAAAAGGCAAGAAAAAAAGTTGACCAATTATTACTAGTGTTCCTAATTATATCATTTCAATACTATTTCAATACCAGTTTGATACTTAAATTTATTATAAATTTATATAGGTGAATAATAATTCATATATTAAATTTACTATAGATTAATACATTTTTCAAAGTCCTATATATAATTTTTATTATTATTAAAAAAATATTTTATTTTTAAAAATATATAAAATTATAAAAAAACTTAAAAAATTTATATAATAAAATTTTTTAAATTTAAAAGTTTATTAATTTTTTTTTTATCATATAATCAGGTTAGTGTTGTTTATTTATTTAATCAAAAACTGAACTATTACAAGTATAAGAATACCTATAAAGTAAAATTTTCTTGACTTAGCTTATTCATTAATAGCTAAAGCCTCTAAATGTGATTTATGAAAATGAAATATTGTTTCCTTATTGGAAAAGATTAAGATTCTAATATTTCAATAGGATTCAAATCTACATATCATCTCTATAGTCATGAATATACATGTTTCCTTATTACCATAAAAGAAAATTTTATTGACAATATGATTCTGAATTAAATATGATTTCCAATTACTTACTAATTGTTAATTTTGTTTTGATAGAATAATTAATTTTAATAAAATTTAATAAAATATTAATCAAACTTGAAAAATACATAAAACAACATATATAATAATTAATTGCTTTTTGAATCAAACTTCTATTAAAAACTTTTTCTATATAAAAAAATCTTTACTAATTATATTTAGATTAGTATTTAAATCCTTATTATTTAAGATATAAACTTTATACTGAAAATATATAACATGTATTCAAATATTTAATAATATCAAAAAAGATTAATTAAATTATTAAATAGCTTAATATTATTTTTTATATTAATGACAACTTAAAATCAATAACTTATACAGTATATGGCAAATAATCAAATGGATATGTAGTATTATTAATAATATTTTTTCTTTATTAAATTTCTTTAAGTATTTATTAAAGTCTTAACTTAATTATATAATATTATATAAAAATTACAATATGTTATAGTTAACACCTCTCTACTAAATAGTATAAAATAAAATAAAAATAAAAAATTCTATATTACTACAATCAAAAACAATTAAATAATATTTAAATCAAGCTTAAAAAAAACATATGTTTCCTTTATAATATAAAAGTCATCATTAACAATTAGTTTTTCTGTTATAGTCACAGAAATCTATATTCAAAAAACAATTTTAACTTTTTTAATTCTGTAATTATGGTTTTTTTTAATTTAATTTCTATTTTTTAATTAAAAATTTTTAAATGTTATAACATTATCAAATCGATTTAAAATTATATTAATTTTCTTTTTTTTAGCACTAAGCAAATATTTATAATTATTTAATACTTTTTGATATGATATATTGTTTTAAAATTAGTTATTTGATTTCTGTAAGCAAGTTAGTATTAAACTTATTGTACTTATAATATATATATATAATATTGTTTTTTTTATAATGTATACTTTTAATATACAAATCAAATAAAGAAATGATATTTACCTACTCAAAAAAATAAAATACAATAAAATATTAATAAAAATCTATTAAGTAAATTTGTTTTTATATTATTATTAATATACTGTATATTTAAATTTTTGTTTTGTAATTATTTATTGAATTACAAATAAGAATAAAAATAATAATTTGTTCAAAATTTTTTTAGATAAACTATATACTGTATACTGTATAAAAAATTGGTATTAAATATTAATTGGTTTTATCATATAATAATAATATATATAATACTGATTTATGTTTTTTTCTATAGTTAAAAAAGTATATAACATTTATTTAATCTTTATAGAAAATAATTAATATGTAATACATCATATTGTATAAACTATTTTAGACTTGAATGTCTTCTTAAATAACTGTTTTAGATGTAACTTTGAAATAAAATTTCAATGTCAATTATTTATATTACCTGATTATTGATAACAATAAATGGTTGAATTATTATTATTATACCATTGTTGATTCTTTATAATGTATAAATAAGTCCTGTTTTTGTATCCTTGAGCAAGATATAAGGGTAATTATTTTTGAAGGCGGTGAAAATGATAGATGTGATTTTTCGGCCCTTACTTTTATACAATACTTATACAATATAATTTTAAAGTGCATAATTATAGTATCCGAACCCATATCGATAATAAATAAAGTACAAATAAGTCCCGTTTTCATATGTTTGAGCAAGATAATGTCAATAATAATGAATAATGAAGCACAAGACATCATAAAAACATGAAATTTTATCATGAAATAATAAATGAAAAGAGGAAGATCTACGCAAGGGTTAGCTCCGAGAAGCAGAAAGAGGACCTTGACAGGCAATGCAAGTACCTCAGGCAAAAATATCCAGACCACGAACTCATCAGAAACATTGGGTCAGGTCTCAATTGAAAACACAAATGCTTCACATCCATTTTGGAATGAATTTACTGAGAAAGTTGTGGTTACCAGGAAGGATCGGCTCTGCAGATTTGCGTACGAGCTTGTCGAATGGATTCTTGGCAAGAACAATACAAAGATCGTGGTATTTGGTTCGGATGTCAATGTTAATACCACCCGAATTCAGTAAACTTGCCGAGAACCTATTATCAATCATTACTATCTTCGCAACAAGACACAATGGACTCAGATTAGCTGAAAACTGAAGATGACGGAAAATTTAAAAAAAACAAAATATACAAATCTACCCAACACCTAAAGAAAGAGAAAAGCTAAGAAAGTGGATGGAAACTGTGAGATGGACATACAACAAGGTTCTTAAGATGGTGCAGGACGATGGAATCACCGACATGAGCATCATATGAAAGCACTACCTGGATGATGAGTGCTTCACAACTGAAGAACTCCTCTGGATAAAAGAGACTCACTGAAAAGTACATTCGTACGCAATTTGACAATTGATGACCGCATACAAAACAAACAAGAAGTTGCATGGAAATAATTTTCGAATGAAATGCTGATCAAAAAAAGATCGAACACAAGATATCTCGATTCTTGCTAGAGATTAGAATAGTAACAGAGGGAAATACGCGTTCCTAAAAATATTATCACCTCAGAACAATCATCAGATATCAAAAATACTTGTGCGTTTCCGTTTCTTTGGATATCATAGATACCCAAGATGATGTTCGGGAAAAGGTAATCTTGCTTGATCCGGGTGTTCGTACGTTATGACTCTGATGGTCAATTAATCGAGTTGGTAAGGTGATTTTAATAAATATTTAAATTATCTAAGAAATATGAAAGATTACAGAGCGACAAGGATTTTGTTTTGGAAGAATTAACAAGATAGAGGTTCCGATTGAGAAAAAAGATGCTACGAATCATACAATGAATCCGTAATTTAATTGATGAGTGCCATCATCAGCTGGTCCGTTGGTTATGTCTGAATTACGAGATCATTCTTTTACCCAAGCTCGAGTCTTCAAAGATGGTTTTGAAGAGCAAGTGGAAGATTCAGTCAAAGACTGCTAGTGCGATGCTAACTTGGTCGCATTTCAGGTTTCGGATGTTCTTACATCATAAGTTGAGAGAGTGCAGAGGTTGCAAGGTCATTGAATGCACCGAAGAGTATAAATCAAAGACTTACGGAATTATGGATTCGTAAAAATGATCTTGGTGGATCAAAAACATTTAGGGACACGAATGGTGCCAGAAATATCTTATTTAAATATTAGCCTGACTTTGGGACTTGAACTTATATGGGATACATTATGTATAGTAACTAACTATACTTATTGATATTGGATTCAATGTCTTTAAGCATTTATGAAAAAAGTAATTTTCTTTTTAAAAACAATAAATAAATAACCGAGCTTTATATGAGTCCGTTATTATAATTCCTTAGACCACGTATTTATTATATTTTATTAATGCAAATATAAATTCCTAATTTATAATATTAATTTAAATTTCCTGCATTTCTTTCTTTGTTTTCACGTCTTTTGGCGTACGAATCCACAGCTATTGCAAAATAAACCTGTCGAAGAAAAAAAATTTTTTTTAGTTAAGAAGACATCTTTTTAAAAGTAATCACACAAAGATAAATATAAATCACGAACCGATAAAAGAATAGTAATAACGACGACAACGATATAAGTTATTAAAGAAATTTTATAAATATTATTGCAATCATTTTTTCCATCGGTATTATCGGAATTGCATGAATCTATGAATTTGTTCTTATAACTAACGAAAACACCAAGACTAGCAAGCTCCATGCAAATATATAGTATCGACAAGACGTAAAATATCCTTGAATAAATCCTTAGAATTTTTGCAGCATTCTAAAAATTAAGAATTCGTTAACAACACCATTATTGAAGAAAAAAATCGAATTATAATACATACGGCGAAACATATAGCGAAAAGACCAAATGCAGAGTTCAATGCTATTAAAAAAAAGATAGCAGCTACTACTGGGTAATACGCCCTATAGTCAGATGCTAAGTAGACAAATAAGTTGGTCGAGAATTAATATAGAATAAGAAAATTTTTTCAGAATATAAAAGAACTCACAAGCCTTATTGTTTCTTATATAATAAACAATGTTAGCAGCACCATTATATATCCCGAAAACCTTCGTTTAAACGAAGAAAAGCTTAGATTATCATTTAAGTTTCTCTTAGAGAGGCAATAATAGGCATACATACAATTCCAAGTAAAGATATGATAATGACTCCAGCTTTTAGGTTTATGCAGAAACAACAACGATCCATCTTTTGATTTTTAATGTCGAGTGAGAGAATTTGCAAATTTTTATATGTTTTTTGTTAGCATAGCGTACAATAGAACAAGAATCATTAACAATAGATGTTCAAAGTCACTCGGAGTTACCGGTGTTAGCGTTTCTAAAAAAAAAAAAATCATTTATATCTATTTTAATATTCTCCGGATCATTACTCTCGAACCTTTCCTTTGTCATACTATTAATACGACTTGCACTTGAATAAATTTGTAAATTTCATTATCATTTAAGCGCCCTCATACTTTTCTATAGAGATTGCGGATGTTCGGATATACTGTACGTGTATAAGTTTGTGCAGTACTGCATTTGCATTGTTTTTTTTTTTAAAGATAAGTTTGAGAATCATAAGACCTCTTAAAAAGTTTAATAATAGAGTATATACTTTATGTTGAGAACAGGCTCCGTGACATCCATATATGTATAATTATTTCTGAGTGTTTTCGGATATTTTATATTGCATGTATACACAAATTCCTGCAATAATTTATAAAATCAAATACGTACTGTATATCAGATATAATAAGTCAAGTGATTTGTTAAGTTTAAAAACAAAGCATATTATATAATAATATAATATACATGTATATACAGTATATATTATTTAAAGATTTTAAATATTAGCTAAAAAAAATTTTTATTATATTATATAATATATTTTTAAATTAAATTTGAAAATAAGTTTTTTATTAACTATAAAAAAATTTGTAAAAATTTTTATAATTTTTTTTTTTTAAGAAATTTTTTCAGTAGGTAAACATCATTTTTTTATTTGATATTGTATATAGGGCTCTGAAAAAGTACCAAACTGGTATCGAACTAGTATCGAAATAGTACCAATCTATAGTAAATTTAATATATGGGTTGTGACCTACTCATATGTTTTTATAGTAAATTTAAGTATCAAACTAATATCGAAATGGTATCGTTAGGAGCCCTAATTGTATATAATAAAGTATACATTATAAAAGAAACGTATCTTTTATTATTTCAAAAAAGTTAAATGCTAGCTTGCCTACTTATTAATATCTAATTAATATTATAAAAAAATTCAAAATCAATATTAATGTACTAGATAAGATCAAGTAATAACTATACCTACCATTTCAAAAAATTTTATGAATTCTTTTGATTTTTTAAATATAAAAAATTAAAAATAAAAATAAAAGTAACTATAATTAAAACAAAATCAAATATATTATAAGATTCATACATATAATAGAAGAACCTCCAAACAGGTTTATTGTTTCATCTCTCCAATTCTCTGAATGTTATAAATAATAGAACACATTATACATATTGCTGAAATTTATAGATTCTTGATGTAATTAATTGAGTTATTATTAAAACATATAAATAATTGAGTCATAATGCAATTATTTTTAAGAATTTTGAAAATTGAATTAACAGCAAATAATTTATATTATATGTATAAAGCACATGTTATTGTTGTTATAGTTGTTGGTAATGAATTAGTTGTTATTATTGTTATAATTGTTGTTATAGTACAAAACTGATTTGAGCTTGTTTAGTTTTTGTTTTGATTTTTAAGTGAAATTTGATTGAATAATTGAAGGACACTGATTATCTGGAAAGGATAAACTGATTTCAGTTTTTTGGATAAAAAATTTTTGAAGATTGGAGGTGGCACAGCAAATATTGCTATGAAAATATTGTGTATAAGGGTTGACTTAAAACAAACAGTAGATCTACTAACTCTATTTAAGTATGTGTTTTGGAAAATATTTAATTTAACTAGTTTGATGGTAATAATATAAATAGTTTTTATAATAGAATAAGAATAAGAAGAGATATAAGAGAATTGAAGAAAAAAAAACTACTATGAACCTTTTCTTATACAACCAAAGAATAAGCAAGACTCCCAAACTTGAGTAGACTTTGACCAGAGGTCCCATCTTATTGTACCAGTTGTTTTAAAGATTTTTGAATTCTTAAGCTAAAACTTATTTGTAATAAAAAGTGTAAACTATTTTTTTTTGCTTAAAATTATTATAAAAAGAAAATTTTTAACAAAACAGATATAATTAGGAGAAAGGTTTGAATTTTATTAATTTTTATAATTTTTTATATAAAAATAATAGTAATTGCATATAATTTAATAATTAGTAATATATTATAGACTATATATCTTTATATTACATTATCTTAAATAAGATTCCAAACCAAGTATTAAAATAGTACAAACTTGGTATCAACTTATAATAAAGTTAATATATGGATTGTGACCTACTATATTAAACTTATAATAAATCCAGTATTAACTTGATACTGAAATAGTATTGTTAGAAACTCTAATCTTAAATTAACTAGAAATTCCGATTTTTATTTATATTTAATTAATTTGTAAATTAAATATAAATTAAATCCAAATAAATTTTAAAAGTTTTAAACTAATCAAATTTAAATTGAATTAAATTTTAAAATTTTAAATTCAATCAATTTTGAATAAGAATTTTAATGATTTGATTTAATTCCATATTCAATTTTCAAGTTTATATTAAATTTAATAGATAAAATATATTTTATTATTATTTTTAATAGTATTTCAAACCTTATGCAATTTTATATAATTTTGTTTGATTCTAATTTTTGAAATTATAATTTCAAATTAGATTTAAATTAAATTTAGTCTAATTTATATAAATTATTAAATAGATATTCAATTTTATTTAAATAAAACTAATCAAAAAATTAAAATAAAAAAATTTGTTTTTTTAAATAATATATAGTATAAAAGATTAAGTTAAAAAAAATTTAATATTTGTAAAAAAAAATTTTTTTTTTTTATAGTAAAATAATATTTAATATAAGTTTTTATTGAAATAATTCTAATTTTTTTTTTTTTAAAATGCATCAGCAATAATTGTATTTATTTTTAATAATGATATTTACATATATTTTTCGACATTACTATCTAGAACTATGCTATAACATATTGGTTATCAATTATACCCAATACTGATCGGGATTACTTCAAATAACAACATTTGCTGTAGCTTGTTCCTAACTATATTAGGTATAGAGGCTAATCTATTGAACAAAAGTAATTCTTTGTTAGACCAGTAGTATGCATTTTCATTAGTAATTGGATAGCTTTATTTTTAACTAGGGAGAAATTAAGGGAAAGTTGAAAGGAGGCACTAAGAGTAATATCTATGGCAAATAAAGTTATATGATTACTGCCTGCTCCATCAGAAATAAATCCCTTTATCACCACCTGCAGCTGGGCTAACCATTTAATTTCTTACTTGTTCAATAATACCCAAGAACATTCAAGGTATTTATAGTTGGTACTTACTGCCTGAACACTAACTTATACATTGCAAGAAACAGAACTTATAGCCAGAAGCCTTCTCAGGATAAGTACTGCCAGACCGGTTTATTATTGGATTGAGATGAGACTAGGGCAAGGATCTGCGTAAAAGATATCGGATATTAGGAGAAGAATCACCAAACCTACTTGTCGAAAGCAGACACCTCATATACCTTACAACTTCTGACGATCATCATAACACCAACTAGACGATCGTCACGCCACGACACCTTTTATGGAGATCACAATCCCAATATTCTACTGGATTAGCATATGAATGATACTTCTTATAGGAAACAAGGCTTAACAGATTATAACCCCAAATACCATTTTTAATTTGGTTCAACCATCTTCACTTGGGATTGAACTGGTATCTTGTGATCTAACCTGTGGAGTGTTAATTACTACACTATGGATCCACAGATCCTTTGAAATAATTTTAATTTTCAATATATCAAATATTTTTTATTATATTATAATAGTCAAATATTAACCTAACTACTTTTTAATATCCAACAATATACTAGATACTTTTAAAGTAAGTTACATATTTTCAAGGGAATCTATCTAAAGATAGAAATTCTACTACTAGTTTAAATTATATATGTGTTCATATTTAATTCAGACATTTTTCAAAAATCATATTATGTTCATATTACTAAATAATAATTAATAAGTAATTAGGAATCATATTTAATTCAGAATTGTATTGTGGATCAAATTTTTTTTTATAATAATAAGAAAACATGTATAATACTAGTTAAATAGCTTTATATAAAATATTATTTCTGAAATTAATTTTATTATTACAATTAAAAATCTTCTTAATATTATAATATTAAATATAAAAGATCTTAATGAAGAGCTAAATTAGCAACTCTTATACAAAATCTTACTAGGGTTTTAAAAAATATTAAACTGATATTGAACTGGTATCAAAATAATATCAATCTATAATAAATTTAATATACTGTATAGGTTGTGACCTACTCATATGAATTTATAGTAAAATCAAGTATTAAACTAATATCAAAGTAATATTGTTAGAAGCCCTAAATCTTATAAATAAAAAATTAATAATATGCTACTTTGAAACTAAAACTTTTTAATTTAATATCCTTTCCAAAAAACTTAATAATAAGATCATTATTGCAGTTTTCTTAAAAAATAGTACATATTTAATTGAATCTGAAAAATTATATCTAGTATTTTTATCATATTCAAAAATAATTATCCCTTAACAATATATTTCTAATAACATATTTTTTAGAAAACTTTCAAAAACTTATTTTTATTTTTTATTTTTTTCTTGTCCTTAATAATATTAAATATAATTTAAACAAAATAATATTTGTTATCATATTGATTAATAACAACTTGTCAAAAAACCTATTGTAACAGGCAAACGGCAAGTCTGTTGCTAATGTCAACAGAGATTCACGGAACTATTACTGATTGTTTATAATAAAAAATGATGATTTGAGGCGTATGATTTAGCTGAGTTTTTTTCACTTCTTGTACATGTATTGCTTTATTAACAACATTTTCTTACTTATTTATACATTTTCTCGTCATCGCATAAAATAGATTAAGCTAACTATACTAGTTACAAAATGATGATTTTAAGCACTATTACATAA